GCATACTACAGTGCGGGGAAAGGTCTGTCCAGTCAGGCGCGAAAACTCAGTCCACCAATACAATGAAGCTCCTTGAACTTGAGCACGGTCGCCTCGGGGATAGCAATCCCACTTTGTTTGATACTTGGCAAGATAAGAGGAGAAGATGAAGATCCACCACTTCTATACGAGCAATAATGAACAAAATGCGTGCATGTCTTTTTTCTTTTCTTGTGACTCCAATTCTTGCTGCGGTGGGACCTGAATCCCTGGGGTCAGATATCTCCATTATACTTCATAATGATCTGTTAGGTGAGCATGAGCCAAAATATCAAGACGACAGGACGTATAACCCTTAAAAGAGGCAGATAGTCCACTGGCCAATTCAAGCGTCATAATTCTGGATGACAAGAATCTGGAGGTAGCGACCGAAGCCTGCAATGCGCTTGGGGAGTCACTCTGGGGCAGTGCTCCCTCGACACCTGCGGACCTCAAGGCTGACCTTGATTATCTTAAATACCGTGGCGACTACAAAAACAACCAGCAATTTTGGATATCCTCAGTGAACGGCACTGGTAGGACAATTGATCTGAAAGGAACTATTGCGACGGCAGAGAGCAACCATCTTTACCCTGTGCTTTGCACTCAGAGTGCTCCTTATTCGACAGAAGACTACCAGAACATAAGCAGTCAGTATCAAGTTACAGTGCATGCAAACAATGAATACCTAACAGGGTAAGATTCTCCTTTTCGCGAACCAAACATTAGCTCACAGGTTAGGTATCGCGATCATGTTATATTCCGGTTCATCGGTGTCCGCTTCGCTACCGAGAAAGAACGGTGGACCTATCCAGAACGATATACAGGCAGTGGAGGCAACATATCTGCTTTGAAGTATGGGTCCGTGTGTCAGCGCGATGCGAAGGGTAATGAAGAGAACTGTCTTATTCTGAATATCTGGACTCCTTACCTCCCTCGTCAGCCGGCGGAGAAGACGAAATTGAGACCAGTAGCATTTTGGATCCATGGCGGCGCCTTTACTGGCGGAAGCCCCGATGACCCTTACTACGACGGAGGAAACCTTGCTTCTAGAGGCGATGTCGTGGTGGTCGGGATCAGTTATCGACTCGGAACACTTGGCTTTCTCGCACTGAATGACGGGAAAACAAACGGCAACTTTGGCCTCGCTGATCAAATCGCCGCACTCGATTGGGTCCGCCAGAACATCGAAGCCTTTGGAGGTGACCCGGACCAGATCACCATTTTCGGTCAGTCTGCCGGAGCAGCCTCTGTGCGAGCGTTGCTGGCTTCGCCTAAAGCAAAAGGAAAGTTCAGCCGCGCTATCATGCAAAGCAACCTCGGGGGCCTTGCGTATGGCACCACCTACTCCCGGTACTATACCATTGATGAGGAGATGGATGTAGCCGGTAATGCCATCCTGGAAGAAACTAACTGCACTTCTGCGACATTGCCTGTGGACTGTCTCAGAAACTATACCGCCAGTGCCATTACCGATTTGTCGACCACAGCGCGATACCTCGTCGTTGACGGGACGTATCTGACTAGCCCTAAGCTCGACCTCAGCAGCTCCACAGAAGCATCGCGTGTACCTGTTATGATGGGCATCATGCGCGATGACGGCGCCCAGTTTATCAGCTATCCAAATGCCAGCGAGAGTATCGACACTTTTCTAACTGAGAATGACCTGCCCGCGTCTGTCCTTGCGAGCGGCCTTTTTCCTCTAGCCACTGGCCCTAATGCCACACTGGACGTGTTCAACACCTCGGCTCGTGTGGCAACTGACGGTATGTTTCGATGCATCGATGAAGCAACAGGCTATGCAGGCGTCGTCAACAACATATTACCTGAGGTATACTTCTATGAGTTCAACCGGTCCTATGAGCTCGAGGGTCAAGTATATAACGGTCGAGTATGCTATGCTCCCCAGATGGCAGAGTATCCAAACGGTGACCCGAATCTGGAGTATTGGAAGTGTCATTCCGGAGATCTGTACTATGTCTTTGGGAATCTGCAGCGCTTGAATCAGCCATTCAGGGATGAGTATGAGTTGCCGTTTGAGCAGTATGTACTGGATACCTGGGCCAGTTTCGTTCGTACTGGTAGTCCAAATCCTGATCCGGAGCTGTTGAGAGCTAGGGGCTATGTGAATACCACCCGGGCTGTGGAGGAAAGTGGTGCGTGGCGACCATTGCGAGAGGGGGACTATAGTTTGAGAAGAATGCAGTGGCCTCCGTATCAGACTACATTTAATGAGGTGGAGCAGTGTACTGCGTTGGATTTGCCGCTGAATTACTATGTGTGAATGTGGTAGAGTGATCATGGTCTTTGACGACGGGGAAGATTCCTTGTAGGCCAAGGATGGCTGCCTAAGGAAGATCAGTCAGACAGCAAAGGTTTCAGGCTCCTGGGCATTTCCTTGCAAATATAGGAGATCTCCCATGTAAAATGATAGTCCTGGATCCACCGGAAAACCTATATAAAGGGGCTCGAGCATTGCCTTATACCTCGTCTTTACTTCCCTGTCCACCCCAGAAAAGCCAAGGGGGGTGGAAAGAAGGGTTGAGGCGACAAACCATACGTCTCGTATCAATATATATATTGCAGTGATGATGAATTAGTACATCAAGGTCACCATCCAGCTCTGTAGAATTGTTGTTCTCACAAGACAGTTGTGGAGCTGGGGAATACCAGATGATATATTTTCATCTTACCACATCACACGTAAGACAAGGTGTTAATCCTGAAAGAGCTTGTCATGTGTACGACGACAGCGCTGTACAAGCAAAGAATAATCATGAATTCTCTAGTTACCGAGCATGATGACCATGATATCCTAATCACTACCAATGCCATAAACATACTGTATATGACGGGCTGGCAGGACATCAACGCTCAACGCTACGCTCAGCGAAAGAAAAGAGCTTACACGCCAGACCTGACTAAAACAATGTCAAGTTCCCAGTTCGGGTACATAATGTGTGGATGCTCGCATTCGATGACGCCAATGTCCTCAGTCATTTTGCTTGTAAGCATGCGATGTGCGATTCAGCAGCACCAAGGACACGAGCTATATATTATGTTTCTGATTCATAACGGCACAACCATCGTCTCCCCTATTGATTGGCTCGAGGTAATCGTATCCTCGGAAGAATTTATTCGGAATAACTGCAAACGGGCAACATCCCCTTCCTAAGGACGCAGGCTTGGTACTGGAACTGTTTATGGTCCAGGCTATACGTGTTGATTGGCTTTCCAGTTTGTTCTCAAGGCAGAGTACGACACGTCTGACCACTTAATATTATTGTGGCTGCCGGTTTGTTCAGGCAATCTTTTTGGTTGGGCAACATTATTTTCTTCTCACGGATGACCCCAGTCAGAGACTACCTGGCCTATTTGAATGGAAATGCACTATGATCATCACTACAGGCATCTCATTCGGGGCATTGTCTCTCCTTCCTCAACTGGCAAGCTAACAAGAGAAACCCAGCGTATTGTCCTGCGCAGAGTGGAAAGCCATGGACAATCGAGGGAGATTTCCGGCTCAGCTTGCTGTAAAGTTTCTGTGACTTGCTGAACATTTTTGGCAAATACCTTTACTACGCAGCTCTTGCGGGCTACTCTGGCACTGCTGCGATTGCACTCGGCTGGGCTGCTGTTGTTGCGGATGCGGATGAGATTTTATGCCATCATGGAAGCAACCAATCTTCTGTCTGCTTTTGACGACACTGAAGCTTTTCCTACGACCTGGGGGATAGGAACGAGCTGAAACAAGAACTCAATAGACACCATATATGGGTATTCAGGAGGTCATCGATGATATGACTGCGTGGGGCTCCCTATTTACATATCTGGACAGAGAGATACATCACCCATTGAGGTACGTCGGTATTCCGAAGTAACAAATGTCTCATCGGATACCGCAGATTAAGTGCCTTGGTCTTCGCTGTCTGTGATGTCACCAACAGTTCAGGGGGTGTATAGAATCCAGAGGACGTCCACTACTAGCTTAGGCTGTTACGACAACATCACTAACATTATGCCATTGCCCTACTCTGGACTTGCAAGCGAATCCATTGTGCTCTTTGTCGTATTCCATGCAACGTGCTGCTGCACTTATATTGAACACCGCCACCAGTTCAACACCTGTGTCTGTGTCGGTGGACCATTATTAGGGGCTGTTAAGATACTTCTCGGACAATACAATGCTGAGAAGCAATCCCTGCTGTCCTCATGGCCCTGTAAAGCGTACATGGTCATCGAAGACAGATTCGGGTTTTTGAGGAGCTGAACAGCAGTGTAAGGGGTACACAAATCCTAAGCAAGAGCGATGCAGAGGTGCTGCCGCGGTATATATTCCGCAGGGGTGACTTGCGGTGCGCTCCGTATGAAAATCGCATGGCTACCGGATGCCTTATTGTCTGTTTAGAGAAATGAGACGATCTCAAGAATTGTCGCTTGTCGGTGGATATATATTATAGTGCTTACTTGAGAGCTTGAATCCATCCATAATGGTCTCCCCCAAAAGATTGATACCGATCAGCCAAGGTTCCTTTCAACGAAGACATGGTGTACTTTCTGAAAGTCAGCACTGTCCACACAATGTCATTGCTAGGCTCAAGTTTGATGGCTCACGAAGAGGATCCAAGGCCGGTAGGAGAGCAGGCGCAGACAACGATCTTTTGCATCAGCGAACCAACTTGAATAATTTTTTATATAAACTCCTGGTTAACAGGTGCTGATACCCATGTAATAGTACAAACATTACAATCACAACATCCACGTAGACCCAATCACAGCATCTATTAGCACTAAAATTATCATCCTCTCTCCATATTCTCACACTCCCAGATCCGTAGATACTTCCAACTACCTTCCAAGCAATCCCCCGTGAAAAGTAATCACTTCCTCCACCCCACCCACCTCCCCTCCCTCGGCATAACCCCATTTCCATCCCCATCCCCATCCCCTTCACCCCCCCAACCACCACCACCACCACCAACATCCACCCCCAACACATCCAACATCCTCCCAACACTATGCCCCACCACATCCTCAATCCCCTCCGGCCTCGTATAAAACCCCGGCACGGGCGGAAAAATCACCACCCCCAGTTTCGCCAACGCGAGCATATTCTCCAGATGAATCACACTCAACGGCGTCTCCCTCACCATGAGCACCAATTTCCGTCCCTCCTTAATACACACGTCCGCAGACCTAGAGATCAAATCCTCGCCGTAGCCCATGCGTATCGCGGCGAGGGTCTTCATGCTGCACGGCGCGATGATCATTCCGTCTACTGGGTAGCTTCCGCTGCTAATGGGGGCGGCGAGGTCGCGCGGTGAGTGGGTGTGTGTTGCTAGGGAGGTGAGGTAGGGAAGGGTGTGTTGGGGACATTCGTAGCGGAGGGTTGGGAGGGCCCATTTGGAGAGGATTAGGTGCGTTTCGATGCCCAGGTTGTGTAGGGTTTGGAGCGTGCGGATGCCGTAGATGGAGCCGGTGGCGCCGGTTAGGGCGAGGATGAGGCGGTTGTGTCGGAGGTGGGGTTGGGATGGGGGATAGGGGGGTTTGGAGGGTGGGTGTGCTGGTGGTGGTTGTGTTGTGTAGGTCCGTAGGAGGTGGTGGTGATGGCGATGGGGGAGGGGAGGGAGGGAGAGGCGGGGACGGAATTTCATGGTGGAAGTTGCCCGTGTCTTTGTTGGACTCAATGAGAGACTTACTGGCGCGAAATTAAATGGTAATGAACGAGGAAGGTATTGCTTATGGCTTGTGTTCAGACAAATTCAATTGTATATGTGCCGTTTGTATGGTTGATATGAGGGCATTCGCATGCTTCTCCAATTCGGGGAAGCGGGGAATGCTTCTTTGGGGGTATAGAGCATGGCACTAATACGTCAGTAGATCATTTCTGAATCCACAGCCCTAACTGGCTGTCGGACTTCCCAAACCTGTTTCTATCTAGAGACTAAACTGGCTTCGAGAGCTCGCTGCAGACCTGGGTCTCCCTAGTGTGCCTGTTCCCTGCCATGTTGATGCAAAAATGTATAGTTTCTCCAATTCACCTCCAACATCATAAGATCTCTCCTTGCGTTGATAGCATCCCCCCTTTTTGGACTTAATGATAATGCCGAATATCCGGCCCCTATGTAGTAGTTGTATGCTGTAGATATATTTCCGTTGAACCCTCCTTTCGTACCATCACTCAAGGCAACACGAAAACTAAACCTACCATGCCACGCATCCTTAGACCTGGCAAATGCTTTCCCCATCTCCGCCCCTCGCGGGCATTCTCCACTACACCCCTCAGAGCTAATGACTCCCCCGCCCTCAACTTCCGCTCACTGCTCTCCGCTCTCCGCGCCCAGGACGACCTCATCGATATTACGCAGTCCACCTCCCCTGATCTTGAAATCGCCGCTCTGACTCGTCGCGTATACGAGACAAACTCTCCTGCCCCCCTCTTTCACAATGTCACCAACACAGAACCTGAAACCGGTCTCTTCAAGATCCTCGGTGCCCCCGTCGGTCTCCGCGCTGACCCTGCCACCCGATTCGGCCGTTTAGCCATTCAAATCGGCCTTCCACCGACTGCCACCCCGCTGGACATTCTCGAGAAGCTTATCGCTGCTAAGCACTTCACTCCACTACCCCCAATTCCTGTTCCGGCTTCTTCTGCCCCATGCAAGGAGAATATCCTCCGTGGGTCCCAGATTGACATGACCAAATGGCCTATTCCGCGTCTTCACCCACTTGACGGGGGCAACTACCTAGCCACATATGGCTTCCATATTCTTCAGTCTCCTGATAAAGCATGGACGTCATGGTCGATCTCCCGTGCTATGCACATCGCAAACACGCCCCGTACCATCACCGCACCGATCATGCCGGGCCAACATATCGCCCAGGTGCATAAGATGTGGGCCGACCAAGGCGCGAAAGATACCCCTTGGGCACTAGTCCTGGGTGGGCCTCCAGCTGCCGCCTTCGTTGGGGGCATGCCTCTTCCCGCATTCGTATCCGAAGATGGCTACATCGGTGCTCTCTGCGGTGAAGCAATGAAGGTGGTGAAATGCGAAACGAACGACCTCTACGTCCCCGCCAACGCAGAGATCGTGCTCGAAGGCCGCATCAGCACGACCGACGAAGTCGGCGAGGGCCCGATGGGCGAGTATCACGGGTACATGTTCCTGGACAAGGCAGTGCCCGAGCCGAAGATCGAAGTGGACTGCGTGACGTATCGGCGGGATCCCGTGGTCCCGATCTGCGTGGCGGGGTTAGCGCCGGACGAGACGCACACGGTGTGGGGGGCAGCGATATCAGCGGAGATCCTGGATGCGTTGAGGGAGGCGGGATTGCCGGTGAAGATAGCTTGGATGCCGTATGAGGCGCAGTGTTGTTGGGTGGTGGTTAGTGTGGATGTGGAGAGGCTGGGGAGAATGGGGATGAAGAAGGAGGAGCTGTCGAGGAGGGTTGGAGAGGTAGTCTTTGGGACTCATGCGGGGTGGGAGGCGCCCAAGGTGTTTGTTGTCGGGGATGATGTTGATGTTACGGACATTGGGCAGTTCGTGTGGGCGCTGGCGACGAGGTATCGTCCTGGGGCTGATGAATTGGTGTTTGAAGAAGCGGATGGCTTGCCTATGATTCCGTATATGACCAGAGCGAGTAGGGCGGAGGTGCCGAATCCGGGGAAGGGCGGGAAGAGTGTCGTGAATTTATTGCTGCCGTCGGAGTTTGAGGGGAAGAGGCCCTGGGTGCCGGGCAGCTTTGAGGGGTTGTATTCGGAGGAATTGAAGCAGAAAGTGTTGGGTAGATGGGAAGGGCTGTTTGGGAAGAAGTGAGTAATGTATCTAGAGTTGAGTTGAGCCAATCTTAAGATAAGGTTTCGAGAAGAATCTGGGAACTTGGTTTCCAACTGTCAGGCACAGGATTGTTTATCATGAACTAAATCGACATTAGTGGGATGTTGACAACATTATGCGCTAGATCAAATGAGACGGGCGCTATAATCAATTCGGCTATAGGAGAGCAAAGTACTAGCGCTTACCCACTTCGTATTCCACCGGAAACTGCTGATGACCCATAAAATCCCCAGCAAAACCTGACATCCCCACTCAGCTCCTGCACATTCACAATGTCCGCTCCCTTCATCCCAGACTTTCGTTCAATCGGGCAGAACATCCACTACTACGAGCCAGATCTTATAGATACACCAATACCTGAGAATGCAGTCACTCACCCATCCCTAATCATCCTGTGCACCTGGTACGGCGGCGCAACACCCCGCCGCGTGGCCAAATACACCAGCGGCTACCGTCAACGCTACCCCCGCACATCCATTCTGCTCATCAACACTTCTTTTCGCGACTATGTCGCCCGTTCACTGCACTCTATCGATGGAAACCTTACTCCCGCCAAGAATACAATAACCAAGACATTGCAGTCCTCTCCTGATGCCAGGATTTTGCTTCACGTGTTCTCTAATGGAGGCTGTAACACAGTCACACAACTCGCGCGAGCAATGAAGTCAGAACCAGCAAACTTCAAATCAGCGCTGAAGCTAATCATCTTCGACTGCTGTCCAGGAGACTCATCTTTCGACAGACTCTACGCTGCTGGAGCAGTGGCTCTACCGACAGCTCAACCTGGTCGTGCGATTGGAACTGCAGTGCTTTATTCCACTGCTAAGGTGGCATATGCGCTGCAGGGTATCAAGGCGATGAGGTCCATAGATGATTATCGTACAGAATTGAATGATGCGGAGATCTTTGGAGAGACGCGTAGGTTGTATCTCTATTCTAGGATTGATGACATGATCCCCTGGAAAGATGTGGAAGGGCATATGATTGAGGCTAGTCGCAGGGGGTATCCTGTTACAGGGGTCAGCTTTGAGGATGGGAAGCATTGTGGGTTAGTCATGGGGGATGAGCGGCGGTATTGGGATGCTGTAGAACGGGCCTGGGAGGGAGGGAAGACGATTGTCTGGGAGAGGAGTAGGCTGTGATTCAATCATCATATTGGTTCGGGACGGTCGTCTGGGTGTCCTAAAAGCTACTGAAAAAGGGCCCTAGAGTCAGATATAACGCGACTACCTTTTTGATAGGTATAATCAGTCATTGAATCAGGAAAGAACTAGTCAGCCTGAAGAATCCTTAAATCCACCAATCAAGCAGGGTGTCATCTCCTCGGTGACTTGGCGCCTGCCGGCCGCATCCCCGCTTTCGCGACTTCACCCCCAGTGCTTCTGCGCTGGATATGTCTCAACAGCCCATGGCCAAGGCAAGAAGTCCGTCCCTATAAACCAGACAGAGGCGTCCGGAGCAAATACAATCTTGGGTTTGCCACTTTAACGCCTAGATGCCTTCGGAAGTTGACCTGCCTCGCATCTGATTGTGAATACCCGACAGTTGCATTCCGCCTATCCTTGAAGATCCCGACCATCACGCCATCAATTACATTATCCTCCATCCAGCGTGATGTTAAGAACAAATTCTGTCGGCGAGAATTGGTGAAGAAACAATATACTCCGTTCTTTCCCGAGAATTCGACGAGGTGGATCCAACAGGGCAGGACGTACAATTACATAGCAGGATAGGAATATGTTCGACCCTTTCGGACGTTCTTGGCCGGTTTCCCACCGTGTTTCGGCCATTAGAAAACCATCAATCTCAGTTGGAAAACTACCGATCCGACAGACTCCTGCCCTCAAATCACACCGGCTTTCATTGAATGTGCAGGGCGAGACAGATTCAGGCATGTATGCCGATGCAGGACCTGCAACAGGGAGGCATAGGCCTTCCCGAAGGCCATATTGTGATCATCGGGTCAGTCCTCAAGTTAGTGCTGTGGCGAAGATTATCTAGCGCGCCGAAACGGAAGCCTGCTGCAACACCAGGCATGGGCTTCCCTGCCGGGTTGCCGGGTTTGGCTACCCGGAGCGCACGGGGTGTTGCAAGTCTCCCAGGAGAACATCATGATGGTGCCGGATTAGTGCTATTGTGACGTACATGTGCACTACCTCCTCTGACTTATTCAGCCCGATTAGATAGTGGTGAGTACAAAGGTCTAGTCATAGGATGCACTGAAGCGGCGATTGCTGACTCCGGATAGCAGGTCAGCCAAAGGCCGATATCGATCGAGGTGCAGCTTGGCATGGGAGGAGATTACCATGAGTCCTGCAATTGGCCATCATGCACGGCTACTGCAGAATTGCCCACCCGGCTATGGACCATGGGCTAGGTCTCCGAACTGCAAGACGACAAGGCATTCCGACCCGAGGAATGTAGCATACAGCACAAGATCTGGCTAGGCCGGTGATTGGAATCGCAGGGATGTACTTTACCAGCGACGTTCACATCCCGATTGCACACAATCTGGCGGCAAATTCGCTCAGAGAAGAACAAACTTCGTGGGGTGAACGAAACAGGCAATTGTGAAAATATCCTCTGTTTGCCCAAGATCTAGCATGCAAGTATCTCACCATATCCCTGACCCTATTGACCATGAAGTCATCGTGTTGGGCAATCTGGTGACGGGAATTGTCCGTGAAGTGGGCCGGTAAACGCTCTTCCGTTGGCTGCCGTGACTAGGATGCGGTCCGTAAAATGAGGCATTTGGCACAGAAGGTTCTGGCACAACTCCACCGACCAACCAAAAGCAAGCTAGTCACATTGATTGAACCAATACCAGTCAACGATGCAGTGCAGCGCCAGGAATGCGCCCAAGAATGTAGCGTCATCTGTTGTCTGAGATGGCAGAAGACGGTCTTCCCCAGACACCCACCCCCGCATTTCGGTTATTGACTGGATCATGGCCCCAGGATCGACCATTAGGCTACCACTTGAAGTTATATTCGTGCGCTGCTATAGGTCTGACCTCATAAAGAAAATAACTATATAAGCTGCATGTTTACTGCCCCAAACGAGGATTTTGGAAGCCAGGCTCAATTGTTCCTCTAATTCGTATTCTCTTCAATTCCACTATGTCTTCCGAGAAAGACTTTGGCGGCGAGAAAGCTGCCAATGACCCCAAGTCTAGCTTGGATCTCAAGTCGGACGCCAAACACATCGAGGTCGCCGAAAATGCAACCGACGTCGAGGCGCTCGCTGCCAGCGTCAATGACTTGCCCGTTACTTGGTTTGTGTGGGTAGTGGCCCTAACCGCCTCCATTGCCGGCATGTTGTTCGGTTACGACACGGGTATCATTTCCGGGGTGTTGGTGGTGCTCAAGGACGACCTGAACAATCGTCCAGTGACCAGCTCCGAGAAAGAAATGATCACCTCTCTCTGCTCCGGTGGTGCCTTCATCGGGGCGATTTTTGCTGGTAACACCGCAGACCGAGTAAGTGTCTTCCTGCGCGGCTGCAAAAGCAAAAAGGACACTACTAACCCAAACCTGCAGTTTGGTCGCAAGATGGCCATCTATCTCGGCTGTGTTCTCTTCGTCATTGGCTCCGTGCTCCAAGCCGCGGCCTATACGATCGCGCAGATGGCGGTGGGTCGCGTGGTAGTCGGACTGGGCGTAGGCTCGGCCGCGATGGTGGTGCCGCTGTACGTTGCGGAGATCGCACCGGCTGGGGCTCGCGGTCGCTTAATTGGGCTAAACAACATGTCCATCACCGGTGGACAGGTCATCTCGTATGCGATCGGAGCGGCCTTTGCGAGCGTCAGCCACGGTTGGCGCTACATGGTCGGCCTGGGCGCTCTCCCCGCCCTTATCCTCGGCTGTATGATGCCGTTCTGTCCCGAATCACCACGCCATCTCATCTACAATGGGTGCATGGAAGAAGCTCGCAGCGTCCTGGGCCGTATCTACAGCAGCGCCGCAACGGACGAGCAAATTGCCGCGTTGTTGGTGACGATCCGCGCGGCCTGCGATCAGACCCGCGAGATGAACGACACGGGGAGCGGGTGGTCGAAGGTCGTAAAATTGCATACTGTGGGGAGTAATCTGCGCGCGTTGATAGCGGCGTGCGGGTTAATGGTCATCTCCCAGATGAGTGGGTTCAATGCCCTGATGTACTACTCTTCGACACTGTTTGCGTTGGTGGGGTTCAACAACTCGACGGCCGTGGGGCTGGTGGTCGCGGGCACCAACTTTATCATGACTTGGGTCAACATGATGGTGGTGGATGGCTGGGGTCGCCGACGCTTGCTGCTTGCAACAGCCTGGGGAATGGCGGTGGGGATGGCCGCCGTTGCGATCGCCTTCCACTGGGTTCCCGTCAATATGGAGACGCTAGAGCCCCTCAACCCGGGCATTTCCCCGGCGGCTATCGTCATTCTGGTGTTCGTCATCTGGTTTGTCGTGTTCTACGGGGTTTCGGTTGGCAATACCGCCTGGATGAGCACAGACTTCTTCCCATTGGAGGTGCGCGCGATGGGCACCATGTGGATGACTTGCTCCAACTGGGGCAGCAATGTTATCGTCTCCAGCACCTTCCTCACCATGGCCAAATCCATGACCCCATCCGGCGCATTTGGCTTTTACGCAGCCCTATGCGGCATTTCCTACGTCTGGATTTACTTCTTCTATCCCGAGGTCTCCGGACTCGTCCTGGAAGAAGTGCAGGAGGTGTTCCAGCACGGCTTCGGAGTCCGGTACGCCCGACAGCTGCGCAAGGAGCGAAAAGACATCATCGAAGAGCGAATGCGAAGTGCGGACAAGCCGATTCCGATGGGTCATTAGATGGATGTCACTTCACTTACTGGCTGAGTGGAGTGTGACTATGTGTGTAAAGTAGTACTTTAGGTAGCACTCTCTGTAACGAGCGACTATCATGACATCATATTCCAAAAACCTGTCCCATCATTGGTGAATTGGGTAGCACAACCAAGGCTTTCCCTAAGGATCCAGTTAGTCGCGTGGATTCCAATCAACAGAGTAAGTAAGCCCGGAGCCTCCCCACGGGGAGACCAGAGCCTACAGTAACTTTATCTCCTTCCCCTCTCCCGTGTCCACCAATCCTACCCTCATCTCGGCATCCCCCAACCCCGGCATGTTTTATACCTCCCCAACTTGGCTTCGGAATCCGGCTTCCGATGCGATGGCTTTCAGTTGCCGGTGTCATGCCATACGGAAATCACTGAAAGTATGCAATGGTCTAATCTCGACATTGTGCCACCATAGCACTTTCTACTACACAATGATGGTGATACCGAAGGGGTTGAGAAGGGGGGAACTCTTTCCGCATATTTCCGACACAGAATGAACGACTACTGAGTTAAGAGGACGCACTCGGAATTCGTAGACTTAATATCGGTATTTGATATCCCTGCACACTATGTGTAGGATGTATACCTGGATATAGGTTTCCTTGATGTATCACCGGGTAAGATGAATCATGCATGGCTGCCGTGGATTTCCGAGTGCGGAGGATATGTACGCTGTCAACCATCTGGAGTCTTGAATTCTTCTCTATTAGCGGGGTAGACACGATTCTAGCTACATCATCTATGAAGGAATGGGCTGCTCTCTGTTAGGTGCTGTAATGAATCCCTCTATGACCGTAACCTGTGTGCATAACCTCCGTCACTATCTGTAGCCTTTCCCCTTTTGGATGCATCAAGGCTCATACGTCATCCCATCTCATGGACCAGCCCAGACTCAGCTATTGCTTTGACTTCATCGGAAAAGTTTTTCACGCAGGGGAGACAACCCTGAATTTCACGGAAGATGACAATTTCCAGTTCAGGCCACGTAGGCAGAGTGGAGAAATTAGGTATCAATATCAGAGATTCCGCTTTTGAGTAAGGAGAATTCCAATTAATCTACGGGACAGTCCCATATTCAGAGGATAATTCCATTTACTCCACGGGGTCCTCCTCAACTATTCATATTGAGTTACACAGGACTACAGAACTTTACGGTCTGGACCACTTTGTCACTGACTTGACAGCTACAATATTGGGAATTCCCGTGTTTTCAACAGCTTCACTGACGGCGCTTTCCACATCACAATGGAATATCTCCACTATCCATGCTAAATTTGACAATTTGTCACGGATCCTTCCAGCGGACTCACAGTGAATAAGTCATGTGACCTGCCAAATTTTGGGCTATATAATCTCGTGAACACCAGCCTTCTCTGCACTTCCCATCAAGCAGCACAACAGTCAGAGGCACCCACCGATAAATAGTCAGAGACGGCCATTGCAATCGAGGAAGAAGCAGAGTTGAATCGGATTCATACGCATCTTTAATCAGCCCAATATTGCCATGTTTTCCATGATGGCTTTCTGGTCAGGGAGAGGTTTTCGGGGTGTTGATAACGGATGAGTTGGCAGGTATCTCTTTGGTGCTTTTGTGGAAGTGAGCTAATTTTCCAGTCAGTTGCTGATATCAAACTACTTTCGAAAGATGAAGTCAGTCGGTTACATGAAGAAGTATTACTATCCATTATCGTTTCATATGTTCTCTACTGATGTGCTCGGGTCCAATAGATTGCGATATGCCTCTTAGTCTGCTGTTCAGATAGACACGATACATCGTCTTTGGTCTGCTGGTTAGTACCTTGTCGCAACATGGTTATGGGGAACTCGGATCCGAGTTTCCATCGGATGATACAGTGCCCATTCGTCAACGGGGTATCCTGTAAACCACGGAAATGGGAGTGATCTGGGATCAAGATCTGCCAGAACATTTCAGATCGATTCATATCCTAACATCACCATACAGAAGTAATCAGTGATTTATCGGAATGTCTCGGAAATCGAAGACAAGAAATCCTGCATCAAAGAATTGCTGCTAAAGATGACATCCAACAACTGACATGGGATTATATTCAAAATGCCCATGCATACATCCTCGCCACGGTCTGGCTCGACAGCGATCCTCTGATGACTGGCGCAAATAACATATAGTTCCGCCTATTGCGTTCCATAATACCATCAACAGATATAACGGGGCGGGGAGCCGACGAGACCGGTCGCCACCGAGAATCGCCTGTTGTATGTGCTTCTAACGGCCACGGGCGACGCCTACTGGTTTGAGATCCGGCCCATCTCCGACTCGAGGAGAATCCGTGCACCTCCCCCCGCACCACCCACTCCCGCCGACCGGCCAGGTCGAGCACCTCGTGTGTCGGCATGGCTCGGCCGTAGCGGTGCAGATTGGCCTGACACTGCCTCGCAGAAGGAGTTTGACTGTCTTTCCATCACGGATCGCAGGAGGTGAGCGCGCTAGGATAGCACCGACCATTCTGATGATACATTCAATGAAGATAATGGATACGAGTCTGACGGTGTACCCAATTAAGATATAGGACATCTTTTTGAAAGAGCATGGAATTGAGATACTGGACATAAGTTTGACGATGTACTCGATCAAGACAATGGACATGAGTTTGACAATACTAGCCAATCGGACCGTTCACACAGTCCGCATGAGATGGACAAGAACGGTGGTGAGTAGTATGCAGACAAGCAGCCCCCTAAGGTGGCTGCCACCTTTCCTCCCCTACTGTCTGTCCACGAACTGCAGCCGCCGAGTGATCAGCAGCCCGCCCTCCTCTTGGGCAAGGACGCAGAGGGTATTGATGACTAATCTGTTATTGGCTCATACTTTAAGACCCCTGACCAAGAGAGTATGATCCTGAATCCTGAGACTGTACCTGTGGTGTCGCTGGATTATGCAGAGCCGACCCCCTCAGCTAGCTCTCTGCTAAAAGCAGATGGTATTGTCCTCCTCTTTCTCAGTGTATCAAACCACATCCTATTCTTCTAGAGTGTTCTTGTATATTAACCGTGTGTTGCTCCCATACCAGAATGCACGGACCCCATCATTATCCTGACGGACGAAGAGGCCGAGACCGTTACTAATACTAATGAGGAAGACGATCTGGAGCTCGCAACCGCGCCAGGTACCGAGGCGAGGTAAGTTACACCAGTATACAGGTTGAAAGGTCAACGTCTTACTGGTGCCCAGGAGCCATGCCTTCGTGAACAGTCTGTGTTGTGATGAATTTGATCCGGAGATTTGGGCGCTAGCATGTTATATATTCAAGATCCCACCGGAACTGGGTAAAAACGTTAGAGATAAGATCCCTATCCAGGGTTTCCGGCCCGAGCGACATCCTTATCCGTACCAGGTGTACGCCTCCATGTGGCTGCTAGCGTGTGAGGCGACTAGCAACCAGCGCGGCAGATTTTTGGCGGATGATATTGGGTTTGGCAAGGTTGGTGCCCTCCGCTCCATGGTGTATTCTTCCACGTCCGCCAGCTAATCACCGAATCTAATATCTAGACACTCACGGTCACCCTTGCCGTGCTTGCCGCGAGATGGGTTGAAATAGCCATGCAGCGAGCACGCGATAACCTCTTTACTGGGCCAGACGACGCACGGTGCGATCATGACCATGACCTCCCCATCTGGTGTCCCTGCTGACCGTCCGCGCCGAATCACCGTCTTACCAAAATCTGCAAGGGCGTTAATTATATCTTCATGGAAGTCTTTCTCCTGATGAACTGGTGCACCGAGTGGCAGAAGATTGTTGATCCCACCGATCCCCATATCCGCCAAATGGTTATTGTCCGGGGATATGGGAAATCCTTCTCGGGTATCCCGACCTGGGAGGAGTGGCAGCATCGTTATGATAAGACGCAGTTCTACCACAAGCAAGCCGGATGATGGAAGGTCCTTGTCCTCAAAGACGTGTAACGCCGCCATGGCCTAGCTGGCATGACTGCAGCCGAGGACACGGAGTGGTGTCACCTTATGGAGCATCCTGCGCGCGATGACTGCGGGCGCCTTGTTGTACTCACGACCTCCGAGAGCTATGAACGCCGGTTTGCCAGGCACGTCTCTCTGTCGCAGGAATATGTCGTGAATAAATCCAAGAAGCAGGCCAGTCGTGTTTGGAGCAACTGTGTCTACCAAAGATTGAAAGCTACGATGACTTGCTAAGGGACTCGACCCATTTCCAGCGGTCTTGGGCATCTCGATACCATTGTTGCGTCTCTCGAAGAAGAGAAGGTACAGAAAAGAAAAACGAAACGAAAAATAAATAAGAACGTACATACAAAGAGGAAGAAACGGAAGAAAAGGAAACCAACAATCAAATTCATTGAATGCCCGTCAAAAATGACTAGTTATAGAAGAGAGACCCATGTGGTGTTGGAAAAGAAAAACAGCACCACATCATGAGCTGGATGGATTGGGATCAGCGATAGTCAATACTGCTTGATCTAGTGGATGAATTCATCATCCCCGACAGTGAGGAACTAACGACTGCAGGCCTGAGGCGAACTCCTCTGATAAATGGGTTTGTTTTCACAGGCCATGGTTGGTCCTTCTGCTGACACTCCATCACGTTATATCACATACACCTTCTACGAGCTGGATGTTTTGATTACAACAACATACAATACTGCTCTGATATACTGGGTGGAATCACCATGTCCGGCAGTGAAGAAAGAAAAAGCTGCAGTACTGAAGCGGAATCCTGCGGCTCATGGTTCATTTTCACAGGCCATGGTTGGCCTTGCTCCTGGCCCCCATCTTAAGGGCAACACGCAGTGTGCGGCCCTAGTTCATTGTTGGTCACATTGTTGCCTCAACTGTGGTGGCCTATGAGCAACTTATTATACGCTTAACCACCATCCTAGCATTTCCTCTTCGGTCGTTCCAGCAAAATGTCACTTTTAATCTTCCATTTTACAGGCTGTGTGGGGACAAATCCATCGGTCCTTGCGCCCTGTGATTCATTATACAAATATAATTCGGTCAAGAAAAAGATAACCGACAAGGTGCGTTATGAGATGTGAGATGGCTTGTTTACCAAAGCCATCACTTGCACCCTACGGAATATTATACTGTGCCATGCTTTGCCCATCTCATACTCCTTATCGCCATGAAAACATACTCTCGACCAAGTCGATTCTCTTGTTCGCTATACAACAAACCCCACTATGAACGGGGCTCCCACCTCAACGGCAAGGCTATTCCTTTTTTCTTCAAGGACGTCAAGAACACGGAGCTTGCAGCAAAATCACTTCAAGCAAGACTCCTATGGCGCCCGGGATTTGGTGGTGCGATAGGCCCGCTAATACTCAATGGCCGAGAGCCACATTCGATTAGCATTACCCAATGGCTCTCCGATCGGAATGAGAGAAAGGTACACAGTGGTTGTCAGACTTGGACACATCACTTTCTCTCATCGCGTCGTTGCCCAGGGAAGAGGGATTAGTTCCATTGACACCTGACGAGATGCCTTCAGGGTTTCAAACGTATCGCATCTCTGCTATGACAGTTGAGAAAGGACAGAGACTGTGTGCTCTTGGCGAATATACTCGAGCGCAAAATCCATGTACTCGGTCGGCGCTGCTTTCGAATGCACAAGCTGGAATTAGGTTGATGAAGCACACCCCAGCTCGACCTGGCTTGGTGCTTGTCATGTGTTTCTATGCTGATAACTGACTCATCAGATGGGTCTGGAGAAGATGTTTTTGCTGTCCATGTTATTTGGTATTTGTGTACTTCTCCAGATCAGAAGAAGCTCAAGCCCCGTTTTAACGGATTAATGAGATACTTCTGCTCTATAACCGTGTTTTTGTTCTTGACATTACTTCAATCTGGAGACATAACGATTAATATCTATCCTGCGTTTCTCAATTTTCACAACAGTCGGGACTTCTAGATGTCGTTGGAACACAGTCTTACCACCTAATCTTACAAAGGGCAATTATCGATGGAATTGCCATTAAATGGAGTCATGTCTCGGTTGTTAAACTGATGGACAAGGCTGCAACAGAGCATGTTATATGCGTGGTGTCGTGAGCCTAGATATCTGTGATCAAAAGTATACGAGGATATCGAAATTGTGTAACGCCCAAGAGACGCTGGTCAGTGTTTGTTCTCTGCTAATCAGATTACACGAGTCTATTGACAAAGGTTGAAATGGTTATCCTTCCTATTTCTGTGCAACAATCGATTGCTCTGTTCGCAAGAGCAGGCAGCAAACTTGAGCTGAGATCGATCAACACCTACCGTTAACGAGTCCAATTATCAGCAGCGCGGTACAGATAAGACACCCATTTTCAACACTTTGAGCAGTACCATGTCATGGCTTGGTGTGGCTTGTCTCCCCGATTGGCATACCCGCAATCGTGATCTTCCTACCGTCCGCCCAAATTGGACAAATGCATACCTCCTCGGTATCTTGCTCTGGCCGGTTTATGAAGATAGATATCAAGGGCGACGACGAATGCGACGATGCTTTGTGTACTGAGAAGCTGCCAAGCAAACAATTAGGTGCTTTCCCACTCAACGGATATTAGAGAAACCTCAAACGTCCGGACGAGTGCAGCGATTTCGCCAAACGGCAGTGTGGGCATCTCCCCGGCGAAATGGTCCGGTTGATAACTCATGCCGTGGACTGTATGCACACCTTCAGGACGTCCATGTACCACATACCACAAGATTTGTTGGGTCCCTACAAGCAGCGATGTCGACAAGAACGTACAGACCCGACTGATGTATCCCTGCATCGTCTGTGGAAAGGCTTATATACTGAAAGACCGACTACCCCAATCTCAACAATCTCTACTGGAAGCTTCTGCTGATGACACGAATGTCCAAGGAAGGTATCAAACACTGCTGGTCGCTGAGCATGTATTCAGGCACTGCGCTATAGCAAACGCAGTTTGAAACGTCATCCGCAGCATAAGGCGACAGATAGCGGGCCTACCACAACCTTCCCACAACGTGGACCGAGCTGCTGTCGAAGGGGGTCGCATGGACGGACTCTCGATCTTTCGCACTGGAAGCAGATCAGGAACGGTGGCGAGTACTGTTCGGGGAGACCTGTGGTTGTGGCTTTATCGGTGTGCCTGGAGCTTTGGCGAGGTACAGGATTTCAACGAACCGCAAGCGGTAACTGTGATGTTCCATTCGTCTTACTCAGAGACACAATAGATTTCAATCTGAGTTATACAAACCATCCGGCCATAGACAAAGAAGATAGGTGGAGGATGGGGAACTGTGAACCGATCCATTTTCGAGGATGGCTCTGTGAAGGTCAAAAACGGTCAATGTGCTATAGAATCAAGGAAACGCAATCGCCAACTATGGTTATTGCGGAGACAGCGATATACGCCGGAGTCACTATACACCTAAGGATGGGCCTTCCTATCCTGTCAGCTTGCATTTTCGTTACTTCTCTCACTATACGAAGATGACGCTGAGGATATAGACTCTGGTTCAAGCAATACATTTCCGCAAGAACCTCTTTTTCACAGTATAAGGGCATTATGTGATCGTCTGACCTGGCTCTGTCTGACTTTCAGATCGAAGAAGAGGATGCGGAACGGTTCCCACCATTGATCCCTAAGTTCATATTAGGTCTTCGATTGTCAGCCTCACCTACTGTTTGTTCTAGGGTCATCGAATATACCAGCCACAGTCAGACTGTCGCAACCAGCGATCAGAGTTCTGTGGAATAAGGCCGCAGCAACCAAGAGAGTGGTGCGTGGTTGCGGGAGCATCCTCAAACCCTGTACGTGATGCGGAACACCTTTGCCGATCTCACAGAGTACGACACGTGCCTTCACAACGCACTGGTCTACGAGAAAGAAGCCAAGGATAAAGCCGCCAGGGATCATGCAGGAGGATACTGCCTGCTGCTCGTGGTGGCCGTGCCGAACCTTGGCAACCGTCGATATATCGCCTTTCTTTTTCCGCAGGACTGTGAAAGGCGCCTGCGGCCGGAAGATCATCTGACGGTCATCTTTGACTTGGAGAACTCTGCTCCTGAGACAGGATGGCGTGCGGTTATTATGAAGAATATCAGCTTCACACCTCCGGGGTTCTGCACCCTCAGCCTCATCCGGCCATGGAACCGCGAAACCGGCACATGGGTCGACCTGCCTGCAGACCAGGAGCCTAATGCGATTCCCTTCACTACACTGATCGATGTGGTTGGCGCGCGCAAGCTCCTTGCCTCTATCCAGCCGCAGCGGGTTGTCGTGCACCTAGTATCATAGAACCTACCCTACCGCCGTCAAATTACAGCGGCCATCCCATGAGCTTGATAGATCGTGTGGGAGTCAACTATGATGTCCTCCCATTGGTTTGGCTTACTACAGCACGGTTCTTATCTTTTCGCGGTATATCATAAAGGATTATACTGGGTGCTCGAACCATCAACATCTTTCATTGGTTTGTGCGTCTGTGCCCCTCCTACGCTTCTCAATCGGCTTGTTCGTCGAAATTAAGGGAGATTTATTAGGAAGGTTATCACTCCGCACTGCAGGGCAATTTATATATACATAAAGCGACATGCTCAGACACAATCCATTCAGTCGAATTTCCGGCAGACAATATTCTAATCCTTCCCAACAACATTGGGACTGTATGCCTCCTAGCCTCAACCACCACTTATGGATCTTGTCAATTCGCCGGCGACCTCTGCAATTTTTATCGGCTCCTTTATGATCGACCGACGTGTACCTATCAACAACAGTCATCAATCGGCTGGACGATGCATACCAACAAGAGATATACCGAAGGCTTCCTGCCATACGCCGCGACATTCAAGTGCCAGAAGAGCGCATGATGGACCGAAGGCTGGCTGGCGATACTCTTCGTTGGAAGTTTCCCAACCACATGAAAGACTGGAATCTAGTCGCAGAAAAACTGGCAAGACATTCACGTTGAATACAATGTCCGAAAAAAGACCTGAAACAGGCGTACCGCAATTTACCCCTAGGTATTCGGTGCTTGTGCGCGCTCCAGGACCTGGAGAAAAAGCAACCGGCAGAATCAAGAGATACAAGCACGTCAGAACCATTATTGGGCGACTTATATAACTCGTTCACTCTTTCGCCAAGGGCGAGCCATTCAAAAGTCCAAGGTGATACGCTACAACTCGCCTGGGCTCCCTGGGTTCGAGAGTGTATATGAATGGGATCATCTACGAAGATGGTGACCACGATAATCTCAAGTAACATCGTGTCTTTACATGAAGAAGGCAAAATAAAAATGTTCGAGGTCTGCTCGGTTTCCTTGACAGAAATGGAAGGCCAAAGAGTGCATGAAGTGAGTGAGGAGCAGATCAGGCGCAGATTTGGTTCTATGCGAAAGCCAGGGCCGTCTGGGTCTATTTCTGGTACTGGAACGAACCGAGAAAAGTCACGGAAACAAGACGCAACGTGGCTTCGGTGCGCCTTCGATATACGCTGGAATCTTGAATGCAACACCTGAGGAATTGGACATACAAGATACGAATTTGATACGACTGTCACCGCAGATCTTCGCTATCAGCTGTTCAGATGAGAGTCTCTTCGCAATATCTCGTGGCATGAAATATGCTTCGCTTTTGTTGACGTTGGAATATATCTGCAGGCTTCGTCTACGCGGGGGTGACTGGCTCAATATCGGTCCAGGATGAGGACAACATTTCTTCCCCATAGAAGGGACTGAGAAGGATGTGACGGAGATACCGGAATGAAATACCACTAGAGAGAACGAAAATCAAAAAGATACATGAAGAATGAAGAGGATCATAATGAATGAACGAACGAACGAAACTGAGCAATAAATGAACGCAACTGCAAAAGAACAGAAGGCTAATCAAGCAACGAAAGCAACAGAATAAGCAAGGACATAAATCCAAGAGGTAACGGCAGGAAAAAATAACTAGAAATAAGGAAGGGAAAGAAACCGATCCATGATTCGAAGATGGCTCCAGACCACCAAGGCAAACGGGTCCGCGAATGATGTTCCCGAGAGCTAGAGGGCCAAAGCAGGCCTGACCGATTGCTACACCTGCTTGCAGTGGTTCTTTCAGTCCTGACACCAACTCCGACGGGAACTACGAAATCCTTGGGAACACTTCCATGAAAACACATCCGTCTACCTGATCAGAGCGCAGCAACGACGGCTTTCCTTGTGGACACTCACGCCATGATATACTTTCTTGTTAGGCATGTCATTCCCTCAATCCCATTTGCTTCACGGAATTATACGAAGCAATATGTTGAGGAAACCTACGCAGTTATATTCCACGAAACAATCTGCAATACCTGACCAACGAAGTGATAGCACTTGACTATGCTCTGGTTGGAATGAACAACCTTTTCATTCGCACCGTTAGAGTTCCGTGGCCTAAGCCTGCTGTGGGTGGTGGAGTCTTTCCCAAACTGTGGACGCTATGCCCGTCGCCAGTTAATAAGATTTGGATGGATATCCGGCCAAGGGTTTCTTTGCGAATCCCCAGGGTCTCAAACGATATGATACACGTTATCTTGCTTTTGAGTCAGCCAACATTACTTCTTCAGGCATTTGAGGACAAGCAGACACGCACAGAAGATGGATGTGAAACCCACAGCAGGCAGTGCAAGATTTCTTCGAGAGGTCGACTTGGCCGGTAGTGAAGAGGCAGTCAGGCATCTGGAAGAAAACTCTGCCTGGGCTGCGGACCTCGAGAATAACGATGCTGCTGACCAGAGAGTTGGGATGTTGACAATGCCATTGACATGACGTCCATTGAACTTCATACAGAGTTCGATGAGACGCCTGTTCATGCTTGTTTGTGGATACACTTGAAATGCAACCCCATAACGGTGGAGATAAAGGAGAGACAATAATAACTTTGAAGCGTCACCTGATCGATTTACTATAATGTGACCACGATACTAAAATATACTTTCTTGCTTTACCAAATAATCACCGCATTCACGCGTCTGGGACGATTGCTACAGAAAGATCTAAGCACGGCGTTCTGGTTGCGAAGTGAAACAAGGGAGCAACCGGAAGGATCTCCGGGGTGGTGGTTGCATCAAATGCGGTCAATATATCGGCAAGCTGATTAACTGCGGCCTTCGCTCTCGTTGTATATTCCTGTTATCGTCGAACCAGGTCTGCATTGTGGCATCGCGATTAAAGTTCGCCGTCGAAAAGTCTCGCCGGAGAAGCATGGATGACTGTCCTGTCTTCTTGGTCCACTGAATATAGTTTGCTGGTGCGCCCATCTCGAAGAACCCCCTGATAATACAATCAAGCCCCGGATCAAGCTGCTTCATCATTAACTCCTTGTTGATGGAAGATCATGTCTATCGATGACTAGCAGGCCAGATATCAACCATGCAGTGTGAGTACTGACAAGATTCTGCTCCAATGCCAGCTCTTCGTCACCGGCATCTTCCGCCCGGAACTCATCGTCATCGACGAGGCGGCGCGCGCGTCTGAGGCGGACCTGTGCCCGGTCTTCGCCAACTATGATCCTTGTTGGTACTTGATCATCGGGGACCCGTTCCAGTTGCATCCGGTGGTTGAGTCGACGCACCAGAATAACCCACTCCATGCCGTGTCGGCCACCTCCCTCTTCCGGCATCTGCACATGAACGGGATGCTGCTCTGCATGCTGAACGTGCAGTACTGTATGGCTAGTATGCTGGGCGATCTGGTCTGTTACCGGCTGGGCTATTCAATTAGGACATGGTGTCTTATTCTAGATATCGAACGACAGAAAAGATAACAAGCACAACACATAGGTGCATCAGACGTGTCAAGTAGGATCATATTGGCTTGAACGATTATTAACGGAGTACCGATATTCCAAGTTGGGACTGCTTCCTTTCATGTGCTGGAAACCCATTTGTATAACTCTAACGTGATCCGAACCGATTGTTCGGGTCTGGGCGTTCATCGGCACATTAGAATAAGAAGGACACTGATGGAAATACCATGCGTCAGTCCTGGTTATATACTGATGTCTCCTTCTGATGAAAGCTAGTGGTTGAGTTTCACACCTCCGTCCTGAGCACGCCGCTTCCACGAGAAATAAGGAAATCTCATTCTTCCCCAGTGTCGGGGTTTCCATCGACAATATAAAGGCTCTTCAAAGTGGTGAGGAAGGTAATAAGGAGTCTATACAGCCTCAACAAGCACTCTGGGTAACACACGGGTCCGAAACAAACACGCAGTGCTGTCTCTCAAGCACGGGTCCTTTAAATCACATCACTGAGAGCATGTGATGAGACTCTTTCGCTACTTTTGCATGCAGGCCTATTTACTTTACCTCGTTATGAAGTACAAGGATGGTGCCTAACAGGAGATCCAGACAAAGTCAACGAAGAGTACAAGCTGAACGGCTTTGAGAATGGGCAAGATCTCACATTGTCCCGAGTAACGAATGCAGCGCCCCTTTGCCAAACAGCGAGATATGGGACGAAAGCAGGATGTGCGGTCGGTCCTACAATTGAAGCACTGCATATGAACAGATGGTGAAGGAATCCTTGCCAACGAATGGACCAACCCACAGGGCTCTTGGTCATTCTTCCCAGACTCTTTCTCATCCACTGGCTATAGCTAGCCCTTCGGCACGCGCTCAAAAGGATTCGGAGGAGTATTGTGTTTCTAACTTCAAGAATGCAGCACAAACATGTATTTCTTCGGCGGTCGCAGCGCGCTATCCAGAGAGATGGCGGAGAAGCACCAGCTGCTGAAACATCATGTGAAATACAAGCGCCTCTACCCTGTTGAGATTGGCACCTATGAAGCAAATTTACGGTACAATCACAAGAAATGCTGCGAGTACTTATAATGAGACATGTGAATTTGGGGGTATCAGATTGTAGGGACATGATTCCAGGGGAATCTATACACAACGAATCCCAATCACCATGTTCTCTTGTCTCATATGCAGTGCACCAGATCTATGGCTGCTCTGTGGGGGGTGGTATACATGATTTGGATATGGCTTATAGATTGATCGGGTTCAAGTTATCAATGAGTTTGACTTTGTCTATCAGTCCACCGGCCCCACTGTTCATAGTGGGGGTGGTCGAAGGGCGGAACAGTCAACGTCGATTGTGAAGAGGGTAACTGGGCAAGGCGTAATGTCTGGCCCAAATAATGCTTGCTCGCTGCCACAAATAGGGTAGTAAGTGGCAGCGAAATGGCAAAGACAGTGGTGGGGGAACGTGTCACGGGAGTTTCTATTATTCGGTTACAGGAAACGTTATTGCGAGCTACACCATACCCAGTGATAGGGGTGATGATGCATATCTCAAATATGATCATTCGATTCTTCACCAAGAAACCCATGTTAAATCCTTGTCAGGTCTTGCGATGGCAACTTCATGAGTGAGCAGGCACGCAATATTCTCATCAAGCACAACCTATCGCTTTCGCGAAAATACTGCGAAAAGAACTACACATTGAATATAGATATTTCTCAACCCCACAATCCAATGAAACATGCATAAACTAAACCTGTCAAGACCACCTAAGAAGTCGTATTCCCCCGAATCCTCGGCTCGAGAGGGAAATCCTGCTCCTCTGGTTCCAGATCCTTGTATAAACTATCCCATCTCTTCCGCAGCGGCTCTGGAGTCTCCCATGCGTACTCAGGATCCCTCAACCAGAGACGCAGTAAATGGCGCCTATGTTCTCATTAATCATTTTCACACTCACACCAATGACGGAAGAATCACTTACTCCTTCCCAGGCCCATCCGTGAACCCATTCCTGGCATGGAAGATACTCAGGTTATTCACGTACTGAATATCTCCTTTCTGGAATCCAAGCGACGCACTGTGCTTTTCAGCCAAAAAGTGCAGCGCATCGAGCGCCTCTGCCTGCGCTTCGGTGATCGGTGGAATATTGGTAGATCGAGGTTGTGCCATGAATCCAGTAAAGTAGCGGCGAGCGTATTGGATCAGGACTCGTTCCGGGGTGCTAGATGTGGCAGGTTGGTGGTAGAGGAGTGGACGGGTGCTGTATGGCTGCGTGGGGTTGGAGAATCTATCCTCCAGTTAGCGTCACTTATGTCACATAGAGAGCATGGAAGATATGTACCCATCAAACGGCCATTCCTGCGTAAGCGTATGAATCAAATCCGGCCTCTCCTTGGCAAGAATGTTGTAGACGTGCCAGCTACTAGCTAGCTTGCTTTCTCCGCCCTCTGCGGCTTCTTGGAGACAGAGGAGGGAGATAATATCGCCCGAGTCGGTGTGGAAGACTTGCTTATCGGCTGTGTTGGAGGGCGCGCCGATAGTCCCCGGTTGGACGGTATTGGAGATGTCTTTGATGTGGGATAGCACACGGGAAGGGGCTCCCTTGGTCCGGTTATCTTCCTGTCTTCCGCGGTAGTTTCCGATGTGGGAGGAGACGCCTGCGTAGATAATGATGTTGTCTTCGCGGGAGTAGTTGTCGATGCGAAGGCCGCGGACGACGACGAAGCCCCGACCTAGGTGGATTTCGCGGGAGAGATCGCGAAGGACAGGGTGAAGGGTTGGTAGGGGAAAAGTAGATTGGTTGATTGAACCTAGGGAAAGGTTCTTTGCTGTGAAATGTTAGCGATAAACATTCTTCTAGGATGGGGAGGAATTACATTTAAACGACTGCAGGGCTTGGTCGATTTCGTCAAGCTGCGCATCATTCAATTTGTAGATCCAGTCATCGCGCTTCTCTACTTCTGTTCCTTCCCAGACCAGAGGAGAGTTGAGATGCTCGGGGAAGCCTTGGGGCAGAGTCTTAGGCAGGGTTTCAGAGGTGACACGGCGCTGGGTGCGGGCTGTGTATTTAACGTAGTCGGGGTGGTATTGGATGTCTGGTTGGACGAGTGTTTGTACCTCAACCATGATGGATAGTAGTTGTTATTTGAAATAACTTTAATGTGATGTCTGCTGAAAACGAAAAGAAGATGGACTGGCTAAGCAGTCTTGGATTAGGTATATAAATGGTGTGGTAATCACATCATCTCAAGCTAGCATTACGATGCCGAAGCCATTCAGAAAAGCGCTGGCTGTCATTCGCCGATGCCCCGCACGGCAGTGACAGAATACGTTGCGCAGGAATCGCCATATCTCCATTATCGGATATCGGCAGATTTTTGAAACGAGGGGGTCTCTTCTGTTATCCATGGCTGATAAAAGTCTATCAAATGCGATATTACATAATTAGTGCTTGTCCCCCAGGTCCATGTTCGATTAAAGATGTTAGCACTTTATTATCAGATAACTAGGCCAGTTCAGCACGTTACAATCAAAGTATACACATCCATCTAGCAATGAGATTAAACTAATATTTCAGGCGACCGAGGGGTACGAGGATGTTCCTGTCCTCGACGCCCTTGCATTGAGCACTAAGATGCTATGCAGCAGATCAATAGACACGATCGATAAAGTCAACCGCCTGCGCCTTCTCGATGATACCATCCAGACTTTTGACAAATGCCAGGTGAGCTGGATCCTTGGACACATAGTAATCACGATCTTCAGCACTCGCAAAATGCACCACGAAAGCGTGGGTGATGCCGTTCTTTGGGATATTAGTTATGGAATTGTTGGAAAGAGGACATTCCTTCGTCACTCACTTGGATGCCTTCGGGCGAATTATCCTGTCCGCCCGATGCGGCCTGGATGTATGGCTTTTGTGAGGTGGGGTGTATACAATTATCTTTCAAAGCGAGCATCCGAGAGCACACCTTCGGGGACGTCCCAATGTTAGATGTGGATAAGCGCTAGGTTGAGCTGGTGTAACTTACATCTTTGATTACTTCGGGGCTGACCTCCGCTTTGAATTGGAACATGACAATGTGAGTGATCGACATGTCGGGCGAAGATTGATGTGGGAGGGCTGGTAAAAGTCCAGAAGGGTGTTTCCAGAGGATGGTGGTGAAAAGAAGAAGGATGGTGATGATAGCCAGAGTGACTGCTTGTCGCCTGGGAGCTACCATGATACTGCTGCGCCCGCCAGGTTTAGCTGCGGGGTACGCAACTGGCCACCTCGCCGAGTGGATGAACGACGCGACTTCGGATGATTAGTTACTCGGGGAGATACTTCGTAATCCGGCCGACTCTTTCGTTGAACTAGTGCTGTTTTGCTCCGAAGGAGCATGATCTCTCATTCGACAGTACCACTATTTTTAGTGCATTCCTGACCCACAACAGCCACCCGCGCCTCTAATAACTGCCTGGATGTCTGGCTACCTTCCACAAAAGTTCCATCTTTCTCTTGATGACACATTGTTCAACTTGCTTGGATATTTCAGAAGCGTAACAATGGTGCTTTCTGATGTTTTTCATTGTGGTGGGAGGCCTATCCATGGTTTCTATAATTCATGGGTTCACAACGTGAACCAGGAATATATCATATTCCAGGATTCACCTGTAAAAAGCCAACGTGGACCGAAACATGATGAATCACCCCACTGAGTTCAACGCCAGCCCAGACGCACACAGGAATGAACATGCCAGATTATCTAGATGGCATCACGAAGCTCTTTGGCAATCGGTTCGACCAGGTTCGACTAATCCTATCATAGTCTAGACGAAACGCTAGGCTGTCAACCCATCGGGATCGGACACTCAACATCGCATGGAAGAGATATGCATTAGTCTCAGGGAGTGATGAGTCCTTTATGAGCCTGGATTTTGTGGTCCATCGACTGCCCTGGGTTTGCTGAGATTTGTTTCTTGGTCACCGTGAGGTAAAAGCACAAATATATGTACGAGCTATATTCTCTCACAAGATGTTGCAGAGAGCCAAGAAGCGGCAATGAGCTGTCGCTGCTGTCCTCCAGGGGATAACCCCGTATCGGCTTCAAAAACTAACCTTTAGAGCCGATGGCAATACCCGTCAGATAATGACGGATATCTATCGTATGTGAATATTGCACCTCCTAATGCAGACATTGTAGTTGCTGGATACCATCACGTGTGTTATTCTTCAATCCATTATTCTTCAATTCAGTATTCTCGACACAAGGTGTACCCAGATTCTCGGTATTAAACCCATGTACCTGGTACTCTGCCAAAGAAAAGCTTTAGTGGCCATTGCAATGGGAGAAATCGACTTACTAATCCCTGCATCCGCTCTCTCTGCACTTGATAGAACGTAGGGTACTCAGCATCCCGCTTGATGAAAAGGATACCTATTTCCTACTTCCTCAATTTGTAGGCAGAAAACGTTATTGATCGTGCAAGCTTCGCGCCACGGAGGCCGCACTTCTCGTTGTCAAGGTTTTATTCGGCATCCCGCCTGCCGGCAGCTGATTAACCCAGTCTCGTAGATCATCGCCACTACTACTACTCTAGCCGGAGCGCCGGCATCCCACTTGATGGATACCAAGGTTCATTGTGAAGTGCCAGGGCACCGGTCTGCTTTGGTTTACCGGTATCCCACCTGTCGGGGGACTAGGAACAAATGCCATTAGTGATACACCTGCGCTATATAAATACTAGGTCCCTGTTCTATGTACATTACATCCCGTACCATATGCGTTATAAGTCGATTATAATCGGCTTAATTCACAATGCCTTCTTCCAAAGATGTCGATACTTCACACGACTCAAGGTCGAGCTTCATCCCGGCAGAGGGCTATTGCGCTCCGAGTATCGAGCCCGTGATCTCAAAGCTACCGAGCATTCATAATCCACCAGAATACGAAGTCTACTGGCAAGATGATGACCCAGAAAATCCCCGTTTGTGGCCACTATGGTATAAGGCTATCGTTGTCGCAGCCATGAGTCTTGGCGCCACGGTAGTCAGTCTTTCCAGCACTTTATATACATCTGGTATCCCTGGGCTTGAGCAAACTTTCGGCATTTCTAAACTGAGAGCCCTGCTTGGCGTCACCACCTACCTGCTCGGCATGGGGGCAGGAAGTGTTCTATTTGCTCCGTTGAGCGAGCTTGTTGGTCGGCGGCCAGTCTATCTTCTCTCGATGACGGTTTTCCTGTTACTACTGTTGCCTAGCGCCCTGGCGCAGAACATTGAGACAATCCTTGCGAGCAGATTCTTTGGCGGGCTTTTTGGAAGTGCCCTGATGTCAAATTCACCCGCTTCGGTAAACGACATTGTATCTGATGCGCATCGGCCGTTAGCGTTAGGCTTTTGGTCCATTGGTCCTACGAACGGCCCCGTCTATGGTCCGATAATTGGCGGATTGGTCTACGAGTACCTAGGATGGAGATGGACGAACTGGATTGTCCTAATAATTGGAGGCGCTGTTTTGGTTCTAATGGTCTTCATCAAGGAAACATACGCCCCAGTTATCCTAAGGAGGCGTGCAAAGAGACGGAGAACTGAAACGCAGAATCACAAGTTGTGGACGCGTTATGATGACACACAGGAATTGATGCCTTTACTAAAAGCTAACCTCGGTCGCCCATTCTTAATGCTTCTAACAGAACCGATTTGGTAAGAACAAGATGCTCTTCTCATAGATTACCCTCTTCTAACCACACTGCCAGCATTTTCTGGGATGCATACGTGGCGCTTGTCTATGGCGTGCTATACCTATGTTTTGTCGCTTATCCTATTGCCTTTCAACAAGAGCGCGGATGGTCTCCCGGGATTGGTGGTCTCTCGTTTATCGGCATCGGAGTAGGCGTTCTACTAGCCATTGCATGTGAGCCTATATTCCGCAGGGTGATCAACTGCCACCAGAAATCAGAGGACGGCACAGTACAGCCAGAGGCTATGGTGAGCATCGTTGGCCTTGGTGCTACTCTCCTGGCCATCGGGCAGCTTTGGTTTGCGTGGACCTGTACTCCAAATGTGCACTGGATCGTTCCTATCCTGTCTGGTGTTCCCTTCGGAGCTGGCAACGCGTGTGTCTTCATTTATGCTTCCAATTACATGGCACGCTCTTATGGTATCTATGCTGCGTCTGCACTTGCGGGAAATATGCTTTGCAGGAGTGTTATGGGTGCCGTTCTTCCACTTGCGGGCCCGTCCATGTATGCGACTCTCGGCTTGAATTGGGGGAGTACGCTCCTGGGTATTGTGGAAGTTTTATGTATCTCCATTCCCGTTGTTTTCTATTTTTGGGGACATAGGATTCGTGAAAAGAGCCTGCTTCTTAGGAAGATGCAAGGTTCCACATTTTCCTAAAGCTGTTGATGGTTGCCCTTGACTGTAATTTTGTTCCCTCATACCATAGAATAGTTACTAGCATTAGCGCAGGCTATACAGATCGCGAATTTCATTCGAACATTGACCCAAGCTTTATTAGGCTATAGCCTTTCAGAAGGTTCCGTGTTCATTATTGATTGTTCAAAAAGCGAGTTACTGACGAGTGAGCCCAACGCACTATGACCATGCCGACTGTGGGCCGGATTCCCGGGCAGTCGGACTCTCGAGCCCGCGGGCCCTGACAGATAGACTGAGACGGTCTCATAATGGCTTCTTATGCGTGATAAAACCTCTATTCCTTTCCCGTCATCGTTCCGATATTACTACCAATTGCCATACTTCAGGGCAATAATGGCTGATCACGCTTACGTGGAGCACTTGACGCCGCTGGACCTGCCTATGCCCAGGACCTACATTCGGGCTCTCCTCGTTTTCCCAACGGCGAATTCCAGCCCCCAAATCACGCAGGAGCTCCAACGCGGCCTCGAGAGACTTTCTAAACAAGTACCCTGGGTCGCCGGACATGTCTTTCATACTACTCCAACCAACCAGAAAGCGTCTCTTGAAATCCGATACCATGCAGCCAAGACACCAACCCTAGAGGATAAAGGCCAGATAACGGCCTCACACGCCAATCTCTCTTCACAAGATATGCCCATGAAAGCCATCCCACCTGACGTGTGGCCAACACTCCCATGCCTGTTCGGTAACATCCCTTCCAAGACAGGGGGCCGCGTTTTCGCTGCCAGCTTCTTCCGCTTCGTAGATCATGGGGCCGGATTATGCATCTGCTTGCATCACAATGCTGTCGATGTAACTGGGTTCGCGGAAGTCGTTCGACTATGGGCTAAGAATGTTGTCCAACCAAGCCAAAACGATCACTCTTACTTGTCACAAGGAAGTGGCGATAGGCTCGTGCGGCTTTCCAAAGCTCTTGCGCCTGACCTGCAGGAAATTTCATCGCTTTCATCGGAACGTCTCCTCGGACTGCACCCGGAACACTCAACACAACCACCCGTCCTACCTGATACATTTCCGCCATGCACGTCCAAAGCATTCAAGATCTCTATTCACTGGATCGATGTGCTTAAAGAGCTCCTCCATAAATACACACAGCGTCGATTGACCACCAACGTTATCCTCTGCGCGCTTATATGGACATCAATTACTCGTGTGCGAGCCCAACGCAACCCCACTCTCAGAGACCAAACAAGTCGCCTAGTAACAGCTATTAACGGCCGATCGCGTATCACGGGGAATTTAAACTCTGTGTCCGGGGATCAACAGTACTTGGGAAACGTTGTGCTCTACGCCATGGCAAGCTTCCCATCTGCTAATCTCGCCACGGCCGAGAGGATCCAATACGCTCACTGGCCACGATATGCGACTGTATCTCAGATTCGCAGTCATCCTCAACAATCAACTCGCGGCATATTGCTGAAACCTACCGGCTTGTGGATTCCATGGGAGACTATAGATCTTTTTATGCAGGTTGGGACTTGTTCGGGTCTCGTGATTTTACCATTACAAGTTGGGCAGATTTGGATCTATATAATTTGGATTTTGGGCCTTTGCTTGGGAAACCGGAGTTTGTTAAGTTGCCCTGTATTGAGGCGGATGGTGTGGCTATTATTCTACCCCGTCGGAGGACGGGCTCTTATGAAATTCTCGAAGTGATGGTTATGCTGCGGTGTGATGATATGGAGTCCTTAGAAGGAGATGGTATGTGGCAGACGCTAGTTGGTAGTCGTAAGAGCTGCGATGCTTGATTTAGATAAATTTGGTGACCTCGATGTACAAACACCAGCAGTTCTGTCTCATTTGCATGCGCTTTAGGTCCATTTCGACTCCCCGAAGCGGAACTTCTCGCTTTTCGTCACGGACCATTCCCGACTTCAAAATCGAACCTGTTCCACAAAAACGGCTCACCACTTAGAAACTCATTTAAAAGGTCAGTAGCATACAACGAGGTGGCTCCATCCCCATTATCCATGTCAAGCACATTCTGCAAATCTTCCGCGATGAACATCGATGGGTCACCAGGTGTATCTGGCAGTCTAAGAGAGTCCTCTTGTTCATTGTTTATCCCTACTGACAGTTGCTGTGATTGAAGAAGTTTCTCGGCAATGTTGGTAAAAGTAGCGCATATCTGATATAGATGTTCCGCGCCTTGGGAGACTTTTCGGAACGTCTCGAAGCTACGAACTACTTGTGTAAGGAGTTCGATGCTCTGAGTGTCTTTTGCAGAAATGGCGTGGAGGAATACCACAAGGAAAGGGGTTAAGGATGAGAATAATAGAATCCTGGTGGTACTCGGTCAATGGAATACATAGAAGAACATGTGAGGGGGGAAGTACGGACCAATTGAAGTATTCACCGTCTGAAAGAAGCTTTGAGCTTTGGTATTGAGGGAATGAGTTGAGATGGGCCAACAAGCTATTACAGGCGGCGTTGAAGCAACAAGAGCTTATTTGTAGTTCCTCTCCTGTCGTTGAGGATGCATGGAGAAGCAACGTCAGGGTGGAGTAGAAGGATATATCCCAGTTTGTTCTGGACATGTTGAAGACTTGGAGGTTGTTGACCCCTTCCGGATCGATCTGGATAATATTAGTAGCCACTCTGGGGTTGAAAAGGCATTAATAGTCCCATCTCACCTTCTTAAGTTGAGAATGCCATTGTTCCATATCAGATGCAAGATCTTGAATAAGTTGTGTCCGCTCAGATGGATCCTTAATTGACGTTGCAGGATTGTAGAGATTAGTGAATACTCTGTCCTGAAATTCCGCCATCCTGATTCCCATAATGAAAGATTCATCCCATGCTCAGCGACTTGGATCTATTGATATCGCAGGATGCCGTACGTCAATCTTGACACCCTGCATATTGGAGACACGGCCTAACAAGAGAGCCAGGTTCTTATCGAAGACGTATATTGTCCCAGAAGAGTCTTCTTATGTTATCCGCCTTTCCAGATAGAATGTTCCTATAGGTCGTCTCACGGTGATATCCAAGTGATTGACAATGCATTGAAGCGGCAGAAACCAAGGTCCAGTATAATGCGGGCTTTGCTTCGCCCTGGGCTTTGACCATCTGCGTTACTGTTACTTCATGCTGCTAATTCAGTGTGTGCTGAGCCAGTCCAAGTAGGGGTAGACAGCAAGGGTATACTTACACCCATTGTTAAAGCAAGTATATTTTCGAAGCTGGGGACAGCGAGTACGTCATATGTTTCTAGTGTCGCTGCGAAGACCTTCTCACAATGATCAAGGTGGGTGGTAAGGTCAAATCTCTGACGGAGCTAATCATTCATTGCTATAAGCTCCTTGAGGACAAAAAATAGGACACCATGCATGCTGGCCACCTGGCCGACAGATGCCCGGCTCGGTCCAGAAAGGACGCTTCGGCGGAGATCCTCAACCACTTGAAGGTCACTTATTGCATACGAAGACAGAAAGATAGGATGACGGGCTGGATTCACGTAAGTCTGCAGACAAAGAAGCTTCGCAACCGCGAACTATGACCCGTATTGAAAGAATGTGACGTACCTCTCATTCTCCGCAAAAGGCTGGTGACCAACGTAGCTGGAAGAGGTTCTACTTGTATCGCATGCTGTGATGATTTGCTCAAGTAAAATCCTTTCCTGGATAACTCTTGTGAATGGTAGAGACTTTTCTGTATATGATCAATGGAGTGCTCAATATCTGGGATGTTGTTGCCTGTAGAAGCAGAGAGAGCCGTAATATGAGCACTATTACTTGCATGAAGTGACTGACTAGCGAAGGAAGTATCTCCTTCGAAGGCTTGACAGCCTTCCACACGGCCAGGATCTGCCGATATGATATTCTCATTGGACACACTTTGGACCCCCGAGCTGAGTTCTGGACTTTGCAATGCAGCGAGTCTAGACTCGACTTCACGAAAACGCTTTTCGAGGCTGTCTACGAGACCCTCCCTATGGGATGTAAGTTCAGTCTGAATTTAATGACCAACCACATTATATACTTACAGATGCGCTATTCTATCTGTCTGGAGCTGATTTCTTGACCTGTCGTTTGGATGTCGACATGTTATCTTGGATGCTTGGCAGTTTGAACACGGTATTTTGCGGTCGCAGCGAATCTTCAGGATTATGATCTTAGCTCCCATCATCTTACTATGGCTCAAACAGTATGGCACATACTTTGCGTACTTTACACCCCTCGCACTACGTCATGTTAGAGTGCGAGCGAAGAGACGGAACTGGGGGGCTTACGGCCCGTGGAACTAACGAGAGCCGATGCCGTCTCTCCTGTATGGTTTCTTGAGCGCTATGTAACGACATGGTAGATTCTGCAGTGATGGAGATGTTGACAAGTACTTCGTGTTGAACGAAGAGAGTTGCAGGTTCTGACCCTTCGGACCCGCGGGCCCGCGGGTCCGCAGCTCCGAGGTAGCGGATTGTTGCCACTCTTGGCATCCTGAAGGGTACCAACCTTAGCACAGCCCAAATTTTGATCTTGGTTTGCGTTGCATCCTATGGCGGCTTTGTTACTTTCTCGATTACTAAAACCCACAGGTACTGGGCAAAGGCAATTTATTTAATCTGGGTGATGTTGATTTCGGACATTTTGCCCACGGGTCCGAAGGCCCGACAAGTCAATATATATAACTGAATAGGTGGAATACCACTATACCATGAGACACAAAGACCTGAGATCCTACAAGTAATTCATGGTTATTGAATAAGCAATCCTATCTTCAACCATTGTCTCATTAATAACAAGAACTAACATGTCGGTCAGTTAATTTCACACACTACTGGCACAGGACAACCAGCCACTGACCATCATCCCATTACAACTTTAGCTTCCGTCCGGGTAAGCTGCCGATTTCCTTGTCGCCGTAGTTTGACCTGGTCATAATATTGATTATACTACCAATAGTGTCAGCATCACTACTGAGTGCATCGATGCTTATAAAGAGCTTTTATACAAAAGGGGAGCAGGTAAACCTACCTTCGTTATCTATAAGATATCCGACGACGAACACTCTATTATGGTGGAAGAAAGCTCCCCAGAAAAGAACTACGAAGCATTCCTACAAAGGCTTACGTCTGCGCATGATAACGACGGCAAACCTGCACCTCGGTATGCCATATATGACGTGGAATATGACTTGAATGAAGACGGCAGGAGGTAATTGAAGGATCCCCAGAACCAGGCAAAGCAATGCGTCTTTGATATGCTAATTCTCATCAGAGCGACAATTGTTTTTATCAGCTGGATGCCAGGTGTGACGTCTACTCGTGTAGGTCATCGTGCTCTTGTATCTTCGACTTCTTTAAGTGTTCCCACTGACATGATCACAGATCCGTATGCTGTATGCTTCTACCAAGGAGCAGCTTCGAAAGGCTCTCGATGTCAAAGTATCTATTCATGCTGACGACTTACACGATATTGAATGGAAAAACATACTGAGAGAAGCGAGTGGTGGACGACTCTAAGCCCTTCATGACGCCCCTTTTTATCACCGTGGAGTGAGGCCTGCCGAGCACTATGCTCTTTCTTTCATTGGCACCGTTATAGACACAAGAACATATTATAACCCTTTGGTTACATAACATAATGTGCTATCCGCACCTATAGACAGTGGAATTCATGGTCAGTCATGGCGGGCTGTACGGCGAACCAATGACTGCTACTAGAGTTGTGCGGGAACATCAGGGTAATAGGTGGAGAATAATGATTTAGGTCCTGTAGCCTATAGAATTCGAACAGGCTAATCGGTGGCGTGAAATATAAGAAAAGAGCTAATATCATGGGTCATGATATGATAAGAATGATAATACTTTCATCTACGATTTTTGGAATATTCCGTATTAATTTAATACGCCTATGGGATACACCTCCTATATGATTCAAAGGCCTCCAAGACATTGGATAAGTTACCCTTGACGCGGAGGCAAGTATCATCGATTTATTTTCGTAGCTGTGCTATTAATGCCAACAACCATACCGAGATGATGAAGAATCCTGCCCTCTAGTGGCATCGGTATTACCAGAGGCCGTGACACCATAAATATGTTTCTTTGTGACAAACGGTCGAAGCTTGTGTATGATATAGTTATGCTCTCTTTTCTCTCAGTTATACACTTTGGCATCCAACCCTGGGAGGATCTGCAGATCCTTGTCTCCGTAACTGTACTTCCCATCCTCGGAGACCTTCGCCTCCCGCGTGCGTCTCTGCTGCTGAGTTTGCCGCGCCTTGACCCACTGCTCAGTAGTCAAATGCTGTCCCAACTCCGTAAACACATTGTTCGTGAGGCCGAGCCGGTTTAGCAGGGGACTGTTCTTGATCGGATCCAAGACAACATGGTTGTTCGGCCTAGTCAATATAGTTAGCATTCTAATTAACACTGAAAGGAAAAGGGGCAGTCTTACCTGGCAAAGTACAAAACACCCAACCGATCCACATGCGCCTGATCAGCAGGAGGAACATGAACCCGATGAATGCTCGATTTGATCAACCCGCCCGTAAGCGCAGTCAACGCATCACAGGTATTGATAGTAATGGTTCCATCCTGCGGGCGGACCCATTTCCACTGTCCTTCCGAGTTGAGGATCTGCAACGCGGCGACGGGTTGTCGGAAGAGCAGAGTCACCGTGCCCAAATCGGTATGACCGGGAGAGTATAGACCTCCGACCTTCTTGTTGAGTTCGGCACCACGTGCGGCGTAGTGCATGTAGCGGAGGTGGTCCTCGCCCTCTACATCGTACTGGTGGTCTCGGACGAGTTGGTCTTCCTCGGGTAGTTCGAGCAGAATGGCGAAGAGGCGGAGAAGCTTCTCGACTACTTCTGTGTGGCATTTCTGTTTTATTCTTTAGTGTGAGTTGTTTGTGGAGAGACGGTAGAGAATGCTTACCCGGCTAAATTGCTCGATTTCGTCAATATTGTCAGCCAGGATTGCTGGTTGCTGGCGCTGATGATACCCATCGAATTTGGGGATGTTGTAGACTTGGACGTTGTCCTTGATTCCGTTGCCAAGACTGGATGTATGAGCATGATAGCATGGTTACAGATGTCGACGACCTACATTCGGTGCCCAGCTGGCCGGTAGCCGTTGTATTCTCCTCTATCCAGATCGGCGCTGCTGTGGTACTTGAGCTTCTCTTCAAGTGGAAGAGCGTAGAACTCGCGACCCAGAGCGAACTGGCGGTCGATTTCCTCTTGGCTGATGTTGAAGTTCTTGACGTAAAAGAAGCCTTGAAGCGAAGTTAGGCCAGGCTAAAAATGTGATGCAAACTACTTACCAACATGACGAACAGCGTGGTCTAGCTGATCAACAAGCGATTCCTTGCCGCCTGGCTGATCATATTGGCTCAGGTCGAGCGTGATGAGTTCGGCCCAGTCGACTGGTTCGTTAATTATTTGAACACATAGCAAGCCGGAGGAATTACTTACGGTCCTCCTTAGTCACGGGGACGTGGTCATATCTGTCGATAAGTCTTGCAGGCATAGTGATGAAAAATTCTATAACAGCGTTTCCGGAAGTATTATACAGACCCTATCGAGCTGGGAAGGTCCGAGTAGTTATGTCCAAATGGCAATGCAGCGTATACTTTAACCCCGCACGGCAATTGTGACGAAGATAGTCGGCAAAGCACGCAATTCTTATCTAGCGTCGCTCATTCAGTTTGGAACGCACGGTGTACCGTGTCTGAATCATGTCAAAGATAGATAAGGGCATTTCTGCTAGGATTGTGGCACGCCATCCCGCACCCGGATGTTGCATTCTGCAGCTAACAGGTCCGAATAACCCTATCAGAATGTGTTGCTTTCCCATCACGACAATGAATGGCATAATGGCAAATATGTCAAAACAGCTCCACTCAATAATTCTATCATGGAGAGGGGTATTCAATGATCAGTTAAAGATCTTGCCGAACCATGGAACATGCCCCTGCCAGAGGAAGTTTTCACAGGAGAATTGTCCGACACGAGGAGACAAGGGCTCGGTAATATGTCCGGCAGCGACTCAAAGACACGGAAAATTGGTGTTTGGGGGCTTTTCAAAGAGGTGTTCAATTGGTATCCATCCAATTATCCGACAAATGAGCGAAAGTACGTTGTCCCCTCTGGGTTTGGCCATAGTATACTCATCATCTAGGTTGCTCTTCAAGCTGGATTTATCCATTCTGGTATTCGCATGTCTATGCTGTAAGCTGCCCCCTGGAAAAATACAGAGTATTAATTGACTGTAATTAGTTTTCGTGAAGTACTTGGGTATGCCTGTCGTGAGACTGCAACCTCCACCGATGCTAATGTATTCCAGACCAGACCAACATCAGCAACGCGTATGTCAGCGGCCTAAAGGAAGACTTCAGTCTAAATGGCAACCAACTTAACTATTTCAACGTCTGCTATTACACTGCATACGTTGTCTTCCAAGTTCCTGGTCTGCTGTTGATGTCGCGACCGACGCTGTATGTTACTGTCCATGATTCGGGAGAAATGCATAACTAAGAGGATTAGGGCGAGATGGCTGCTCCCTTCCCTTGAAATTCTCTGGGGTATATGCACCTTTGCACAAAGTCGAGTCACAAATGTCAGCCAGCTATATGCACTTCGATTTCTCGTTGGCATGTTCGAGGCTCCTGTCTTTGCTGGAACACACTTTATTCTCGGTTAGCTTTTCGGCACTTCAACCGTCATTTCAGTAGGCTAACTGATACTGAAGGCTCCTGGTACTCTGGCCCCGAACTCTTCAAAAGAGCTGGAACATGGTTTATTTGCAACGCGCTTGGAACCATGGTAAGCGGATACCTGCAATCCGCAGCCTACACCAACCTATCCGGAGTGGGCGGCATGCCTGGATGGAAATGGCTGTTTATTATAGACGGAATCTTCACTATTCCCGTCGCCATTATTGGTTTTTTAGTGTTCCCGGGGATTCCGGATTCCCCACGACCCTTCTTCCTGTCAGAAGATGATATTTCCTTGGCCAAGGACCGGGCACGAAGAGCGAACATCCGTCGTCCGGGAAGGGTGACACTTGATGTCTTCAAACGCACACTTAAGCGCTGGCATATCTGGGTCTTCGTCCTTTGTTATGCGTAAGACAGACTTGGTTTTAAACTTGAGAAAAAGCTAATCCCTTATGTCTTAGGTGCATGATTATATCTTCTTATCCTACCTCTTATATGAACCTCTGGCTAGAGGCAGAAGGCTACTCAGTGCCACAGGTCAACAAAATGCCGACAGTGACCTACGCGATCAATATCGTTGCTTCGTGGTTAGGGACCACGCTTGCTGCAATTTATCCATCATGGCTTATTTACACTATTGCGTCCACATGCTGTTTATTCTCTTCGCTGTGTATGATTATTTGGAACATACCAAAGGCCTTGAAGTAAGTGTACATCTCACATGCGTATATTGTCCTGCTGACAGGATCATAGGTTTGTCGCATGGTACCTCTTTGGCGCGGCCGGGTGCACAAGTCCTATTCTATATTCGACTGTTAATACAATTGTAAAGGATGATTCTGAAGAACGGGCGCTCATCATGGTACCTCAATAGACTATCTGGATAGCAGACAGAACAGAACACTAACTATTGGCAGGGCTCGATGATGACTTTCGGCTATTCCTTTCAAATATGGGTTCCATTGCTTCTTTTTCCTACTGCTGGTCCGGACGGTGCTCCGCGGTGGCGAAAGGGGTGGCCCGCCGCATTCGCTTTTTTCTTTTTACTGTGGGCGGGGTTCATTGCAGCAACATTGATATATAGAAGGTAGATTAAGTATACCCAGTTTCCCATTATATTTGCTAACGCAAGATCCAGAGAGCAGAAAGCAAAAGAGGTACTATATAGTGGTCCCGAAACAGAAAGTGGAACGGAGGATGGCGAACCGATTGTGGTGGAGGTCGATTCTAGTGTTAAAGACAGAACTTGATGTTCATAGGTAGCATCGGCGTCAGTCATGCGAGAATGGAGACCGTTAGGGCGAAGGAATCTGGACTTCTCAGCACATTTGCGGCGAAATATCAAAGTTTGACGAGAATGAAAGGACATGGTTAGCTCTCCGGACAAGGGTACATATTGCGCCAGTACCAGCGCCATATGTACTCCTCCACTCTGGCAATTTTCCTGGCCTTCCCAAACGCGTCATCACTGAGGAAAATATCTTCAGGATTTACTTCATACGCCGAAGCCATCGCAGTATCCGCAGCGCTGCCTGCGGCCCTCGCAGCCTTCTCAACCATAGATTTGACACGAGCAAAGGGAATCCCTTCCCCATCAAAGTGCCCCAGCACGCCTTTCACAATGCTTAGCTGGCCTTCCGTTGCTACCTTCACGAATAGATGTTCACCAGACCGGTTGACAACAAACGGGTCGGCGCCTTTCTGCAAAAGGAACCTAACATCCTTCTCTGAGCAATACGTGTGGCCATATATTCCACTGAAGATATGGGGCATATCTGTTTCCGGATATCGTGAATTGATATCCGCTCCGTACATCAGCAGGAGGTCAACAACTTCCTCTCTAGTGTTTCGGCCCCAATAGTTACT